AACACACGATCATGCAGGATACACATGCACACTTCAAGATCTCACAACTGGATCTGACTAAGTTTGCAAACTTTGTGAAATTAAATGTTAATTAGTCATTCAAAGATTTGTTTAAATTGTATAAATGCGTATTTGCTGAATGCTGATGGCAAATGAGAAAGTATTATAATGTTTGCCTTTCTATTACTAAACGTTCTATCTGATTATTAGACAGACTTCTATCCGTATTAGACAGAACTGTTAACGACGACAAGAGGGAGAAGTGCTACGGTCCGTTGCACCATCAAAATAAAAGTCCCGCCTCGAACGCATCGGCCAAACAGGAAAATTTATCGGCCGATGCGATATTTAAAAAATGCCAAATATCGGCCGATATATCGGTCGACCACTAATGATAATCCACGTTTTTCTACCGTGTACAGGAGGGTTAAATAGTATTTTAAATCGCAAAAAAAAAATACTCTGATGTGCCAAGCCATCAGAACCAAAAACAGTGTTTAAAAAATAAAACAGAGGGACGTATTGAACCGTGGGCTAACTATATTGTTGCATTCCTACTATTTACTCTAAAATACTGTATAACAGGAATAGCACAAAGGCTTGTGTGACTGAGTGCAGACCTGCTAACCTTTGAAAAATATTTATCATCAAATCTTGCATTTTGCACATATGATTTTGACATTAATCATCAAGGATCTTCAGGTAATAATGCAGCTATCTAGAAATATAAGAGGCCGTCCCCCTCCTTCAAACCCCGTGTCCAGTCCCGTCACACTGATGGTACTCAGAATTTTTTTTCCAGGGTTGGCAGGTCTGCTGATGCTAACACTGAGACATTTTTCAGGATTCTTTCATGAATAGAAAGATTTTAAAAAGCATTTATTTGAAATAGAAATCTTTTGTAACATTTTAAATGTCTTTAGTGTCACTTTGGATCAATTTAATGTATCCTTGCTGAATAAAAGTTTTAAATTCCAAGTAAATAACTGCCACTAATATCAATAGAATAGTTTTGGGAAAGGAGTAAAGGCAAGGTATACTCCCTGACAGACATGTTATTGACTGTGAAATTAGGGTATCGTGTGGAATTCACTGTAACACCTCCAGTTCCAATTGCTCTAAACGATTCATATTTATCTTATTTTAAAGGAGTGTTATACAGACTTTTTACAGTCTTTTTGCAGGCAGTCCAATAATTGACCTAACAATACATTATACAATACTGAACTAAAAATGTGCTAAAATATTTAATTTGTTTGCTTCCACTGAGTAGCAGTGCAGGAAACACTGACTGAGTGCTTCAGTGTGGTTCTGCACACATTGGTGGAATAATACACATGGGGAACAATTTACAGATCCAAACGTCATTCTATTCTTGTCATAATTTAAAAAATTGAACTGATTCTGCAAAAGAACATGTCAAATATATTAATAGCATGAGAAATTAAGATAAAGGCTGAAGGAAAGAGTTTTTAATAGAGCTGTTTTATTTTTATCACTCTTTATAAGTGTTAGGCCTTGAGGAGTGGGATCCTTCCTGAAGTTTTTTCCATGTGAGATGATTCCAGATTCACATACGTCAGCGACCTTCACGTCTCCATCCGTTTCAATCTCTGAGGGCCTGTAAGGGTCAGCTAGAAAATAACTCACCTATGCTTCTGTTATTTATGTGCGGAAATTAGATCTTATGTATACGCTTGTTGTTTCTCAGTGCTGCTAAGAAACGTAAGTAACTCTGGGGTGAAAGTGTGTGTAAAGTGCACACAGGGATGTATCCTAAAGGAAGGACCGTCTATGGCTGGAGGCTTCACTGTTGAGTCCCCCTTTCCCCCTCAATTGCCTGACACTCTGATACTACAGGATACACTGGCGCCAATTCAATCTCAGCATGAAACAATAGCTGTTACCAAACTTCACAGAATGTTCGTCCCAATTGTTTCTGGGCATTGTTAGGCGGCTTCCTACTGGGAGGTTATGAATGGTCCCAGGGGGATTTGAAAAAGGATGTAATCTTCCTCTGCTTTTTTCTGGGGCGCATTTTACCCCCAAACCGCCCAAAGAGCAAATTTAAGTGAAATCGCAAGAGCAACAGGAGATTTGAGGCTCATGACAGACACGCCCAAGAGATAATTCGCCTTGTAATTGGCTGAATGTTAGTTCACTCAAATCTAAATAAACAAATCAGAGGACATGGTCGGAAATATCTGCGGTGGGTCAAACAAAGTGCGGGGGACAGAATCACCTTTTTCTAAAAGTGCGGGGGACATGTCCCCATACCCCCCCCCCGCGGCTGCTACGCCCCTGAGAAAAACCACCGAACACCTTAGCAATCGCATAGAAACTTCAGAACATGTCATATTCAGTGTTGTTATTGTTCATTTAGTCCTAAACTTATTAAAAGGTATTTTTGTTAATTGAAATAATACTAAAATGAATAATAAGTCACTTCATTGCCTCTAAATTAATCACTTTTACTCTCTTGCTTTCTCACCCTTGTTCTCTCTATCATCACTGTCTGTTTTTTTTTTTAAATAATGCACTCACTCTGCAGCCAGTCTTCCTCGCCCTAACTTTCTTTAGCTTGGCCTTACTCAACAAAATATTCTTCGTCTTGGTGAAATGTTTGAACATGGCTTCTGAACATGCATCCCTGAGCTTCTTCCTCTTTAAATAGCCCGTCTTTAATATCAGGAAATTAATCATGCCATATTCAGCATTAATCCACTGTAATTATATGGGCTGTGTAGCATTTTGTGGATGGACAAAGTATGCATTCATCAGGTGGAGTTTTTTACCATGATGAGCAGAAAGCCAAAAACGCATTTTGAAGGTTTTCTCTTCCCACTTGTGAGGTCACTAAGATCTGGAAAAAGATTGGAATCCTTCAGCCACTTAAAATAAACAATTAGATGTCATTGCAAATTGTAAGTCTATGATTATTTATTATAATTGACTGATAACAACCTGTTTATTGGATCTGGTTAACTTTTTGAAGTTTCCACATACTTTTTTGGCTCTTTTGGATGCTTGAGCTCTCACTGGGCCGATTACCAAGGCCGTGTACTCAAGTGGAGCCCCTCCTTTAGGGCTGAGACAGGCCCATCGAGTGCCAAAGGTATTAACTCAGTCAAAAGCCTTACTGCTCAAGCCCTTCTCCTGGAATCCCAGACATCTGAAGCATTCATTAAACCTCAGCAGACAAGCATTTCATCGTTTTTCACTCAAAAAAAATAAATAATAGAGAGTATGTGTAAACATACCTGGCAATAAAGCTCATTCTTCTTCTTCAAAGCTCTTCTCTGAAGACATCTCTGGCCAGGCTCTTTAAATATTCTGCACATCTGCAGATTTGCTTTCATGCTGATGAATAGTGTTTTAACTTAATCATGGCAATCAGATTTGATTTGTGGAGCACAGAACCGTGACAAGATTTGTCTTATTTTATCTTAGAAGTTGGCAGTGTTTTTGTTTTGTGTGGTCATACATATGCGCTGGTGCTTGGAAAATGTATAACTAAAGTATTTGCCATTTTGTTATAATCCTTTTCCACAATAAATGTGGTAACTCTATATCTGCTGGGTAGGGCTGTGCGATATTGTAGAAAAATGTGATATGCTATAACTTATAATGCGATACGATAATGCTTAAAGTGCCACATGCTCAGATGAAACCGTTTTTACTCAGCTGTTGCTGAGTCAGTTCTGTGAACTTCTACAGTATAACTATTTTGTGTCATATATACTGTATATATGGTTATTTGTATGTATGTACCAAGAGTTCCTGTAAAACCACAACAAATTCCTTGTGTTTGCGCACAATTAAGTGGTGAATAAAGCTAATTCTGATTCTGATTCTAATAAGAAAGCACCCCTACAATAACTTCTGAAAGTGAACGGTAGTGTTTTACTCGAGCATTACATAAAAATGTCATTTTTAGGGATGCACCGATATGAAAATTTTGACCGATAATCCTTTATTTTTGAAAGCCGATAACCGATATGTTGGCCTTTAAGAGTTCAAAGCCTGCAGAGAGAGGTATTTCTACACTGTTTGCATACTGTCAAAATACTGCTTGCAGTTGGCTGAATTTTCAATTTCATTATCTTAGGTTTTGTCAGTTCATCAGGAGTTAAAGGGATAGTTCAACCAAAAATGAAAATCCTGTCCTCATTTATTCATCTTCAAGATGTTCCAAATCTGTATGAGTTTCTTTCTTCTGTTGAACATAAAAGAAGATATTTTGAAGAATATTGGTAACCGAACAGTTGATGGGAACCCATTGACTTCCATAGTATGGAAAAATACTACGGATGTCAGTGGGGACCATCAGCTGTTTGGTTACACACATTTTTCAGAATATGTTCTTTTGTGTTCAGCAGAAGAAGAAACTTTTGGAACAACTCGAGGTTGAGTAAATGATGACAGATTCATTTGTGGGTGAACTAATACTTTAAATACAAAGTTGTTGTAGCACATTTCTCAACTGACTAGTTCATTTAGTGATGCCAAAATAATGTTTTATTTTTTAATATTTTTTAGATCTCTGCCTCTTCTTACCCATGAGCTCCCTATCACATGTCTTTAAAGGCTATGCTGCCTGTCTCCGCCACCGTGCGTCTATAATTCATGAAAGTTTCTCAATGCATAATCAGTGTTTTTTTTTTTATTCTGTCTTTCTAACCACTCAGTTTATGCTAGATATTATTAGGCACACATGGAATCTGCACACTTTCTTCATGCTAATTGTGTAGGAAAATCAACTGCTACCACCTCAGCTAAAAAAATGCTTCCTAGATACTTCCAAGTCCAACTTTGTAGAAACAGACCAAACTCATTATTTACTGCAAATCTTCCCTTTCAGTGAGCTGTTGACTACTGTGACCAGATCATTGAGTCAGTGAGTTGACTCATTAGTCCGATTGCTTCATGTATGATTCATGTGCACTGTATCAGCTGATTAATTGAAAAGATTAATCTCAAAGGAATTATTTGTTTTTCAGATGGGAATCAGTACGTCTCTCATGAACTCTTATTAATGAGCCAAGGAGACTAGGATGGATGCCAAGATTTTCAGTGGATTGAAACAAAAGAATTAAGTCAAGTAATTAATTAATAATTAATTTGGTCTGTTTTCACACAAAGATATCGTATGACTTCAGAAGAATTGGAATATGCATAAGAAGTTCAGATGTTTCCAGTAGTGGCTGTATCTTTTCCTTGACCGTTTTAAGTGTGTACGTCTCTGTTAAGTAACTTTGCAGATCCACCCAACACACGTTAATGTGGTACAGACTAGTGCTGGGCGGTATGACCAAAAACTTAATATCACTGTATTTTTCAAAATTATACCGGTTTCACGGTACATGACGGTATTTTTTTCATGCATGACCGGGTGTTAACCATATTTTCTACTGATTGAGAGAGGAAATACTGCAGTGTATTGACTTAGAATGCCCTATTTTACTGTCATGATGAGTGAATATTGTCAAAAAATTGTGATTAAACACGACCCCTTTTAATACATGTTAACCAGGAGTCACTCATTTATAATCGCGGCATCGTCTGATAAAATCAACATGCATCTACACTAAAGAGCGGCTATGCGGTTGTTTTGGCTATATTACTTTTTTGTCTCATGCAGCGCACTGCCTGCGTCTGAGTAACAAACAAAAAAACAACAAACAAAAAAGTGCATGTGATATTAACAGACGAACTACACTCATAATTTTTAATTCCAAACAATCAGTAAGCGACAGGTGCTAGGAAATTAGACATATTGACATCCAAAAAACTAATCAAAATGACGAAAGCACCAAACTAAATTCCTAAAACTAAAATGAAATTGGGAAATTTAAAAATAACTAATTCAAAAGATTAAAAAAAAAAGAATCTAAAATAGTGTCTCAATGCTACTAAAATAACTCTGTATTGACTTTCATTGTATGGACAGAAACACACCGGGACATTTTATCTTCTTTGGTGCTTCACAGAAGAAAAAGTCATAGAGGCTTATAATAATGTGAGGGTGAGGAAATTATTACAATTTTCATTTTTAGATGAACCATCCCTTCAAGGTTCTAATTTGACTTACTTTCATGTTTATTACAGTCTTAATAAATTAATGTAACAATGTAGGAGGAACAAATTTCCTACGTACATGTTTTTTATTTGCATGATGTCCCTGCGTCATTCATCAACACATTAGTGCGGTTGATGCTGCACTGTTTGTGATCCTGGATCATCATGTCTAATTTAGATAGCTTGTCTGTCATTGCAATACTCAACCTGTTGGCAATGAAAAACAAAACGTGAGCGAGTACAATCGTGATGTTAGAGTGTTTTTCCTCCATTACGGGTGGCTGGCTGCCTAATGAAAGTGTTTACAGCATCTGTCTCTGCTCTACTGCTAGTAGTCACTGTTTCACCGCCTGCAGTGTGTCACATAGCGCCGTCACCTCTCTGAAACCATGATTAACCCCAAAACACAAAGACTAATTAATAGCTGTCCTTGTAGCATCTCATTACTCTGTCGTCTTCTCACAGGTCCTCATCCAGTCATAGAATGAGCGCATATCTCTGATGCGTTAGACTGCCTGCAGAACTCTGGCGTGGCCTTTTGACCACACTCATCCTCTTCAATGAGCTCAATGAATGTGTAAGCACACATTAAAACAGCATTCTGTCAGGCTAAACTGGTTACAAGGACCCAAATGCACGTGATAGCGCCAAGAGAACTGACTGACTGCCAGCTATTGAGCCAAATGTGCACTCTCTGATGCGGTTACACTCAGTATAAGATTATTTAGTTGTTTGATCCAAGCATGAATGGCAATTTGTTTGGGACATTTATCTCTTAAAATGTCCTGATGTTCTAAATGGCTTCTTCCTCTTGCCAGTTTAGGAATTATTCTGTGAATTAGGTGTTTATTTTCATGGTCAAGTGACCTCACTGCATATGTTGTCATTATACTTATTTCAAAACATCATAACTGGATGCTACTTGTTGAATTAAAACTACCACATAAACTTTGGATTTGGATTTTGAATGTTAACCACTAGACTTCTTTTTGATATTTTTAGTGGCTGCACAGAAAGCTCTTAATGCAGCTTTATAAGATGGCAAATTACCAGCGCAGTCTAAAATGGCTTTGTCGATTAATCAGTTTTTTTAGAGAAGTGTTGTCACAGTAGAATTTCTAACTTGGATACAATACAATACCCTGAATAATAGCAGGATAATTCTTTTTCTTTTTCTTATTCATATTATTTTTCCTTGTGTTTACCCAGAGTAAGGTGGTGAGAGCATTATGAGTGCTTTAAACACTTGTAAGGTCTGTTTTATTCATACTGGAAGCCATCGGGTGCACTTGCATAAATAGTTTTAAGTATGTGTCTCGGAACTAATATAACTTATAACGTTCCAGCAAAACCCTAATATGGACAAAGGCATCCAGGTGTTGCTGTCACTAAACATGAGAAAGATAGTAATGCTTTGACTGATCAAAGCATAAAGCATATCGATTAGCTGATATTATCGGCCGATATGAGCCTGTCGCCAATATATCGGTATCGGCAATTTTTTTTTTACAGAACATATAACGCAGATTAAATGCTTCTGAATTGTGTAATTACTTAGTTTGTCCAGCAGAGCGCGCTCCATTGTTTGCTACTGGCGACCCAGGTCAATGTAGTGTAGAAATGCGCAGATGAGCTCAAACGTCACCCGAGTCTGCTGCTTCAAATTATCCACCCACCCCCACCTATATTTGATCATCACATCACAATGATTCTAATTCTTAGTTTTGCATGATGATATGATGAATGGATGGTTCATTATTAACAGCAGATTCAGTGACATTAGAGACTAGAGCTGATCTGCGCAACAGGGCATGCGTCTGCGGCGCATTAAAGCCTGTGTTTTGACCACCGGTGCACTTTAACAAGTAATCTGAACAGCCTATATACAGGGCTCTAGACTGCGACCAATTTTTGAGAATGTGCGAGTTAAAATTTGACGCGGTCGTATTTGTGCGAGTGCATGGTCTAAGCTGCTCCGAAGCGTCTGCTTCATACAGCGCGCTCTGCAGAGCCGCGCACATTGTAACAGGAGTCAGATTTCACCGATCACGTAAAGAGAGGCGCTTTCAGCACGAGCGCGAAGGTGCACGCCACGGACAGAGAGCAACGGAGGATTTGGTTTACAAACTAAAATAAAAGACCGCTTCTCAAACCAGAGAAGGTGAACATGTTGGAATTCTTGTGGGAAAAAAACATGCAAGTCCTGTCAGCGACGCCAGTTTAGTTTTTACTTTTTGTTTTCGTTTTGAAAAGCTTGTTATCTTTGCTGTTTACCTCGCGTTACGCTATGGAGGCTTTCCTTATTTATTTTATTATTATTATTATTTATTTGATTCCTCAGTGTTTGTTAAACATTCTGTAATTTATTAGTCGGTATATACAGCATGTGATGTAGGATATCCTATGCCATGCCTTGTCTTATTCGTTTTTGTTAAAGGTTATGTAAGCTAGTTTGTCATTGTAGCCTACTGTTTTATTGTTGTTGTGATTTTTAATTAGAAATGACAATAAATCCATCTTTTGTTTTAGTCTTAAAAAGTGAAAGGTGTATAGATATAAGCAAACAACAATTATCTTTTCTTGTAAAACGTGACACCAAGATCGCGAATTTGAAAGTGAAAGTGAAAGCGCACGAAAAGAGGAATTCTTGTTCACAAAATTTAAATCACAAATAATACTGATGAAAAAGAACAGGTTGAATGTTGAACACTTTCATTACCATATAACTATAAACTATGATAAAAGTTCATCAGCTCGGCCCCCAAAACAAACATATCGGTCAGGCTCTAGTATGTATATACCATCACCAAAGTAGTATGTGCTTTTTGTGCATTTTTGAATAATGCAACCATAGACTTAAATTCAGAAAACTGAATAGATTTCTTTGCTGGCAATCGACATACAGAACTACCACATTTTGCTATAAGTTTGATTGCATCATATAATAATTGCTGTTAATAGTGTTCATCGTCTGTTTGATTACGTGTTTAATTGATTTTTCCGTACATTTCTGCCATATGTACATTAATTGACAGTCACCACTGATAAGCTACCACTAAATAGTGTAGAAACTTAATTTGCTGTAAAGTTGCTTTGCAACGATTTGTATCGTGAACACACACAAAAGCTCATAACAACAAGGTTATCAAGGGCATTCAGACACTTGAGCATTGTTTGGCTGTGTACTTCGAGTTGTTGTCTTAATAAATCTCCTCTCTATGAGTGAACCTGTGTGATGTTGAGCCAGTCTCTCAGTCCTTGCTTAAAGACTTGATTGTCACTCTAAAATGTTTTTCTAGCTCTGCACAGTAACTCGCGAGCTCTGAGGGGCCATCGGGGGCTTCCTCACCTCTCTGACTTTGCGCCTCGGAGTCTTCAGTGTTAATTTTATATTAATTTCAAAGTTGAGAAAACCTTAGGGTTCTACTGAGTTCATGGCTTGGTTTTGCCCTGTCATGAACTGTGACACCTCCTGTAGTCATGTGCCTTTCTAAATACAGCACAGTGAATTTATAACAAGCACATTACACAAGTTTTTGAGAAAGAAGTTTTATTTTTTTTAAGTAAATGGTCTGAAATCTAATGTAAAGGAGGGTTTTCAGTTTTCATAGTTCACCAAAATTTTTTACTTCTGTCATTATTTAATCACCTTCATGATTTTCATTTTTAGGTGAACTGATAAAATGTTTTTATGTGTATCTTAACGTGGCACTGGGTATTGATTGAAGGGAAAGAAAATCAAATTAATCCACTCAGAAGTAACTTCATAACCAAAGAATGTTGGAATAAATGAAGGCCTCTGAATGAACGAAGGTGCATATGTAGTAGACCACTAGTCTGTTTTGTAGTGTTCACACATAACTTACAAAGGGTCATCCAAACTTTATTGTAATTCCTTTTCACTATTTTGATGAAGCATTTAAATGACTCTGACAGGCTGGGAAATATTACAGTTGAAGAAGTACAGAACATCCCGCTATAAA